CTGTAATGATCAATATTGCTTTCAGGAAGCTAACAACGGCCAACAGAAGCTAACAAGTCCAAGGCTTGACCTTCATTTCTAGTCTGTGTAAGGTGTGCCGGGCCGGTATTTTGATCGGATGACGCTCACTGACCGTCATCCGATCTGTCATAAAAATTCTAGGGCCGGCACACCTTACACAGACTAGAAATGAAGGTCAAGCCTTGGACTTGTTAGCTTCTGTTGGCCGTTGTTAGCTTCCTGAAAGCAATATTGATCATTACAGTTAGATTTCGCTGATTTCCGGCCGGTATTTTGATCGGATGACGCTCACTGACCGTCATCCGATCTGTCACAAAAAATACCGGCCCGGCACACCTTACACAGACTCGACGTAGGTCAAGCCTTGGACTTGTTAGCTTCTGTCGGCCGTTGTTATAGCTTCCTGAAAGCAATATTGATCATTACAAGTAGATTTCGCTTCCTTTAAGTAGAGTAGGCTTATAGACAGAATATGATCACTGAAGGTTCCACTCGTGATTGGCTCAGTAATTTCAGGGTATCGATGAGACTTTCAGTATCAAATAGAAAATTGATAGACGTCACATGGAGATCACTCCCGAGTGGAAATAATAATGTTTCACCTGCACATATGAGCATGAAATTTACTCAAACTCCGGAGTTATACATATTCAGTCAGTTTTAAATCCAATATTATGCGTTATATTTCAAAACGGTTTTTTAAACTTGGACCTCGTATGGCATACAATGTGGACTTCATCTTTAGTCACCTTTTCCCGATCGAAACCGGTATGTCAAATGATGTGATGAAGTATTTTTCGCTTCCTTCATCTGAAGACTATGGACAGTGAAGGTTCCGCTCGTGATTCACTCACAACCAGTCTTCTTAGTTTATTCCTAGAGGACTTAGGATTTATTATAAAGAAAAAATGGGGGGGGGGCGATACATGCGGACCATTCCTAAGTGCAGATAATGATGTTTCATTTGCGTATATGACCATGAATTTTACTCAAATTCCGAAGGTAGACGTGTTTATGCATTTTCGGAACTAATATTATGCATTACATTTAAGGAACGACTTGTTAACTTCACGTGGATCATGAATGATGTGATGAAATATTTGCTTCCTTCAAGTGTTGTATTTTTAGTGGTAAACAGCATATGGTCACTGAATATTCCTCTCGCGATTGGCTCAGCAATTTTAGGGACATCGAAGGAGAAATCATTGAGAAAAGGAAAAGGTAGCACAACTCCTTGGCTTCAAGAAGCACCGCAGATAAGACAGCATACAAACAAACCTAGAAAATAGTTAGAAAATTGGTCGTTATGAGGAAGAATGGCATCTAAGAGAAAAACCGTTCCAAAGTCCACAGTTTTGGCTAGAGAATTAGAGGTTTCGTTATCAGTGGCGGTTGGCTGTCGCAGAGCGCACGGAAAAAATCGTCATATTAAGTTCCACTCGTGATTCACTCACAATCAGTCTTCTTAGTTTATTCATAGAGGACTTAGGATTTATTATAAAGAAAAAATGGGGGATGATACATGCGGACCATTCCTAAGTGCAGATAATGATGTTTCATTTGCATATATGACCATGAATTTTACTCAAATTCCGAAGGTAGACGTGTTTATGCATTTTCGGAACTAATATTATGCATTATATTTAAGGAACGACTTGTTAACTTGAGTCTCTACTATGAGACGGCACGCGGATCATGAATGATGTGATGAAATATTTGCTTCCTTCAAGTGTTGTATTTTTAGTGGTAAACAGCATATGGTCACTGAATATTCCTCTCGCGATTGGCTCAGCAATTTTAGGGACATCGAAGGAGAAATCATTGAGAAAAGGAAAAGGTAGCACAACTCCTTGGCTTCAAGAAGCACCGCAGATAAGACAGCATACAAACAAACCTAGAAAATAGTTAGAAAATTGGTCGTTATGAGGAAGAATGGCATCTAAGAGAAAAACCGTTCCAAAGTCCACAGTTTTGGCTAGAGAATTAGAGGTTTCGTTATCAGTGGCGGTTGGCTGTCGCAGAGCGCACGGAAAAAATCGTCATATTAATAGCAGTGCATTCATATACAGAGTATAGAGGGTAGGAAATGATGAGATACGAGATGCTGAGGAGCTTTGGTAGGCTCTTTATCAGAGGCGGTTGGGTGTCGCAGAGCGCACGGAAAAAATCGACATGTTAGTAATAGTGTATTCATGTACAGAGTATGTAGGGTAGGAAATGATGAGATACGAGATGCTGAGGAGCTTTGGTAGGATCGTTATCGGTGGCGGTTGGATGTCGCAGAGCGAAGGGAAGCTGTATAAAATCGATTTGTTATTAGTCGTGTATTTATATAAGAGGACTAGAGATTTCACTTGTGATTGACTGTCTTCTAACGTCATTTATGGTGCTCGTAGGATTCAATTATTGAAGGGTAATAAAAATTCTTCTTGTTTTTTAAGGTGAAGTTTTGTTCCTTGCATAAAGTAATTGTTTCGTCTCTTAAAGCGTACTTTGCTTCATTTGATAGGAGTCTGCTGGATGGAAAAAAGGTAAGCGTACCTCGTGTGTGGTATGGAAAATAATTATCTTAAACAATGTAATGAGGTATTTTTCCGCTTCCTTTAAGTGTATTTCACTTACTTACTTTGATGTCTTGCGTCTTCAGACTGTAAGATATGTGTATGAGTCTTATGTCGTCATCCAGCAGTAATAACTTTCATCGCGTCTCAATCACTCCCTTTTGTCGCTTTTGACTGAACTTCCGTCTGGTAATTGAGTCGTTTTCCTGATCAAAAACGGGTGTGCTTCTTCATGTTATGGATTTCACTTCTTAATAGGTGTACACTCAAGTCTGAGGGGGAAAAAATTGCTTCTCCTAAAGGTGGTGAATGTTTAAAAATAACTCACCAAGTTTGAAGTGACAACGTTGGTCAGCAATGCTTTGAGAGCGTCACTATAGCTGCATCTCACATAAGTGCATTGGGGTGACATCATGTGGGTCCGGAGGTCATCGGGTGCTGAAGGACAGTACTGCAGTCTGTTGGCTACACTTCCTGTGAATGAGTTGTTGATATATCGATAGATGATAAAGCGATGCAAGTTGTGTATAGTCGGACTCAGTGCGTAGAGGACTGGAATAGGTAGCGGTGTTGACAACAGATCCTGCTATCCAACTTTTGTATTCAGCACCTTGAATTGGGGGGGGGGGACGTGATTGAAGTCGGTGAGATACATGGAGATAGAGTCCGTGGTTGGTGTGGGTTCTTCCAAGATGAGCGAGGCGTTGGTCCTCCGAGGCGTCCAGTGTTGTGTGCAGGATCTTGGTGTGAGGCGAACTGGTAGAAACCATAGGCTTGCAGAGGGTTTTTATATCTTAATAAGCGGAAGCATTCCTCTATTTACTCAGTCAACTTTGATGTAGAAAGCCTCCACGGTAGTTCGTTAAATAGGTACGTCATTGGTGAAGTAAGCTAGTTCACCTTGGATGAATGACTGTATACGCTCGCAACTCAGGCTGCGTCGCAAAGGAACAAAGGAAGCAATTAAGATTCTGACGTCAGAAGTTGCTGCACTAGGAATAGGAAAGACAACTTTTCCTTGTTTCGTTCGCGCAATGATTATTTTCCGCAAAACGTCATAAGCTCGTACATTATAAAAGCAGATTGCTATCTAGCTCTTTCATCAGTTGTGTTTTTCCAGTGCCTCGCTCCAGCTTCAGTGTGTAATAGTGTCTCCTGCAAGGTTTTTTTCTCTTTTTTAAAGTTTTTTTTTTTGCTCCATCGTGGTAGTGTGTAGTGTGTATGTGTGTGTGTTTGTGTTTAGTGCTGTACTCCTTGCGTTTAGCGTTCTGTGGAATTCATCAGTCCCAGCGGTGCTTGAAGAGTGGAGTTCCGCGGATTGCGTTAAGCAAGGGGGGGGGGGGAATAGTAAGATATATGATTCTCTTGTTTCGTAGTAGAAAAAAGAATAGTTGTGCTGTTTATTTTATTTTTTTTTTTTTTATTTTTTTTAATTTTTTTTTTATTTTTTTATTTTTTTATTATTTTTTTTTACCCTGGGCAATGATTATTTTCCGCATAACGTCATAACTTCGAACATTATAAAAGCAGAATGCTAGGTACCTTCCTCTTTCATCAGTTGTGTTTTTTCCAGTGCCTTCGCTCCAGCTGCAGTGTGTAAGGGTGTCCCGCGAGTTTTTATTCTCTATCGCGGTAATCTATAGTGGTGTATTGTGTGTGTGAGGGGGTGTGTGTGTGTGTGTGGACTTACGTGGATTGCGATAGTCATAATATAGAGGGAGAAATAGTAAGATATATGATTCTCAAATGATTCTCTTGTTTCGTAGTAGAAAAAAGAATAGTTGTGTTTTTTTTTCTTTGCTGTTGAGGTGATTGTTAAAGAAAATTTTTCTGCGTAAATTCATAGACAGATGGTATAATGTGACAGTAAAAAAACCGCACTGAGTGAGCTTCCTCTTAGTATTGTAGAAAATGTATACTAGTAAAAAAAAAAACCGCACTGAGTGAGCTTCCTCTTAGTATTGTAGAAAATGTATACTTCCTTAACAGTCAAAGTATATTGGTTGGGTGAGAAGAGCAAGAAAAATGAGTCTTAAATTCTTGTGGAGTTATATTGACTGGAATTCGCTATTGCAAGATCCAGCCCTGACAAGAAAAATAGTAGCAGAAGCAGAATCAGACAACTTACCACGGCAACTGATAGAGGAAGTCTTATCATTCATTGATTTCAAGGAGATGTCTAAGGTTGTTAAAACTCCTGAAATTATTCTTCACAATCACTCTCATCGTTTCGATTTTAGAAAATTACTTCTAAATAATTGTTCCCTCTCCGTACACTTCATTCGTTGTCACGGTCTAGCTTTGTAGAAATGTTGGGATTTGATATCTTCAAAAATAAATCTCTCCGAAGCTGAGATGGAGGAGCTCGCTCTCACGTTAGATTGGAAATTGCTCTCTCGATATCACAAAATGTGTGAACCATTCATCAGAAAATTCAGACTTCGTGTCGAGTGGGTTCGTGTAAGGAAATAGCAAAATGTATCACTTAAATTTCTTCTAGAAAACGCTCCAAAAGAAGAATGATGTGGAAAAATAACAGATGATGTGATTAAATAACATCAAGTGGAATAGGTCTCCTGAGGATACTAGCATCCTCCAATTCCATCACCTCCTGCTCTTTACTTGCCTTTCCTTGTCTTTTCTCCATTTATAGGTCTTCTACTTCGATACCAATTCAAATTACTTGACGAAGCTACTTTTATCCAGTTTTCTCCCAGAACCTTACCCGTGTACGCGATGGTCGTCATCGCACATGGGTCCAATTTCAAAATTTTGTGGATTTTCAAAAGTTATATAACACTCAAAATTGGGGGGGAGAAGGGTCCCTTGTACTCAATAGGGTACTTTAGCACCTCCTAAGCCCTTTTGCCTCAAGCGTTTGCCCCTAAAACAAAAATTTTGGTATCTACAAAAATTAGCAGCGCTCGTTCTTTTCCTATGAAAATATACTATTGACGTCATTTGTATAGGTTCAGCGTGACGTATTTAAGCTTTTTCCTTTAAGGTACGTTTGTGACTTATGTCTTTCTTCGAAGGTGTAATTAAATATCGTAAGATTTACAGTTTCTTTAGCTGTTTACTGGATGTGAACCCTGCTGTAGAGATCCGTATAAGATTCAAAAGAAGAGAATTTTAATGAATTTTTTTTCTTTAAAAATATGATGACTCTTGTGGTTCCCTTCCTGTATAATTGTGTGGCTCAAATATTTACTTCCTTAAGAATTATTGTCTCCTTTCGTGTGTAATATCGATTTATTAAAAAAGTCTAACATAAAGTGGATTGGGAAAATATTGTTAAATATCAAAACGTGTCGAATGACTTCATCCTCGAAAATTGTCTAAAGGATAAAAGGAGTGTCCTCTTCCGGTTTTTTCATTCGCTTCCTGGAGCTTGAAGGCTCTTGATCATTGGAAGAGTGGAAGAAAAAAAAAATGAGTCTTAAATTTCTGAGGAGCTACATTAACTGGAACTTGCTTTTGCAGGATCCAGTACTGACTTCCAAAGTAGCTGAAGCCGGTAAATCAGACAACTTGTCATATCGGCTCGTAGAAGAGATTTCATCGTACATCGACTTCGATGACATGTCTAATAATCCCAACACTCCAGAAAATATTCTTCATAATCACTCACATCGATTAAATTTCAGGCGTTTGCTTCTAAACAACTGTCATCTATCAATCGACTTTATTCGTTCTCATGGAGTGGCCTTAAATAAATGTTGGGATTTAATTTCATCAAAAATTCTTCTATCTGAGAAAGAAATGGAAGAATTCAGTTATCTTATAGATTGGAAAATTGCTTCTCGTTACCAGAAAATGTCAGAAAGATTTATCAAGAAATTCAAACATAAAGTCGATTGGGAAAATATTGTAAAATATCAAGACGTGTCGAATGACTTTATTCTTGAAAATTGTCCGAAGGATTAGTTGTATGATAGTTACATTGATGAGAGATTTTAAGGAAATCTCGTAAGTTCAAGCGATTATTCGGTTTTGATGTGGACAATGACAAAGGACGCGTGCAAAAAAAAAAATTTAAAAAATAAAAAAAATTAAAAGAAATAAAAAATAAAAATTTAAAAAAAAATAATAAAAATAAAAAATATCGTCTAGTGGAATTACATACATAGTTTTTTTGTGATGTAAACTAATAATATCATCTAGTGGAATAGGCCTACTGGGGATACCACTTTAAAAAAAACGCGCTGATAGCCCTACCTCTAAGGTGGTGTGGAAACGGGTTTCTTCATTGCAATACAATCGTGTGTAAAAAACACTTCCTTATAATATTGGGTAGATCTGTGTGGTTAAAAGCACTTCCTTATTCTAAAATATTTACTTCCTTAAGATGTATTGACTCCTTAGAAAACTTACGGGTATGTCGGTCTCGAGTGGAAAAAATGAACTGAAGTCGAGAGTATGTAGCTCCTGGTGACTGGTGCACGCGTCTGGTGCGACATTGAACTTCTGCCAGTAAGAGGCGTGCTCCGACATTGACCTTTTAAGGAAACTACTGTTCCTATGCAGAGTAGTCACGAGGTTTTGGCGTCTTTTTGTTGGGGTCTCTCTTTTTCTAACTACTACCGAAGAGAACTTCACCTAATGCTTTTTGAGATGGTTCGGAGGATGCGGGCTCAGATTAATAATCTGGGCCTATGTGAGGAAAAGCCACCGGAAGAAATGGAAGAGGGATTTTCAACTGGAAGCGAAAACGATTGAATTGGGGGGGGGGGGGGGGGGTTTAGTGGGGTGAGTTTAGAGTTTAGTTATAAAAAACTTACGGGTATGAGGCGGTGAGCGGTCGGAGAACACTGAGCACGAGTAAAAAAGTAGAACTGAAACCGAAGGTACGTACCTGCTTCTTTTTATAATATTAAAGTTGATGACGTTTTAGGTGTGCTTGTTTGATTCAAAGGTGGGAGAGGGAAAATTTATTCTTCCTTGTTACTCATTAGTTACCTTTGTTAAGTTTCCTAGTTTTTCTTCCTCATTTCATGATTCAGAATCTGGCGTCGTTTAGCGGAAGATTAAAATAGACGAGAACTGACGTGCGTGCGTGTGTTTCTAGTGACATTGATCTTGTCATAATTATGCACTTCGAAAAGTGAATAATATTCTGTTAGTGTCTTGCACGTCTAGGACGTCGCACGCCTCCGCTGACATTGACCTTGCCTTGTAATAAAACAACTGTTCCTATGCAGTTGCGAGAGTGGTGTAAGAGACACGGACTCAACGCGGGCGGGAGCGATGTCTCGATAAGAGGCGTGCTCCGACATTGAACACACGACAGGTTGCAGTGTTGTCACAATGTGTAATCTGTTTTGACGTGTTTTTGGTGAGTATTTTTGTGGGGGTCTCTGGAGTATTTTTGTAGGGGTCTCTGGAGTATTTTTGTAGGGGTCTCTGGAGTATTTTTGTAGGGGTCTCTGGAGTATTTTTGCAGGGGTCTCTGGAGTATTTTTGCAGGGGTCTCTGGA